CCCCCCCCCCCCCAGTCCTTTTTTAACATTTTTATAAAAAATATAGCATGTTAAGTTACGGTAAGCTTTTACTTACAATGTTCTAGACATCTTGCATCTCCTGTCTGATTCATTTAATATTGTCATGTAGTTGCTGTTGGGTTATTGAAATTGACTGTGATAAGTTTTTGTTAAGTTACTTGTCAGTGTGGGTTTTTACTTTTTTTTTTCAAATTATAAGAGAAAGGTTACATAGAAAGTTACAAAGGTAGTAGAAATGAGCTAGTTGGGCTGCATAGGCTCAGGAAACAAGTTACAGAAGCAAAAGGAGGGCCCTTGGAGCTTAGGAGAGGGAAAGGCAAAGGGAATGCACCAGGGGAAAGGAAGAGGGAGACCGAAATGCACTAGGAGTGCTCCTGAAAGCGGCGGTTTTTACTTTCTTTAATACTCTGTTCCTAGGACCACACGAGGGTGGGAGCAGATACCTCACAGGACATCCAGCTCTTCGGTATAGGAATCCAGCCTGAGCACTGCGAGATTGACATCGCCCCCGACGGCGACGTCACTCTTACTCCGAAAGAAAATGCAAGGTAAGGAAAGTGAGTGGTACTGAACATATCACGTGTGCCTTATTTTCAGAAGGAAAAGACTGCCCCTTTCTATCTTTTACCTCACTTATGTCAAAGTTAAGGCTACAGTGGGTCCTCGGGTATCGCTTTCCAGTTATGGAGCTGGATAGCATCAAGTCCAGCACCAGCTTTGGGGCAGGCTGATTCTGCCTTGACTAGCTGGGCGAACTTTGGAGAACACACATTGTTTATCTAAACTTCAATTTCCTCTTATGGTAAGTGAGGCTAATGGTAGACAAAACATATAAATCCCTTGACTCAATGCATGACACATAATAAATATCGAATAAAATTAGTTGTTACTCAGTTTAACCATTGTGTAAAAACCAGTTAAACAGCTCCATTGTTTTGAAAAATTATTAAACTAGGCTATAATATGTAAAAATTGGAGAATTGACAAGACATTATATTTACATTTTTATTTCTATTAAATGACATTCATTAACACACAAATACTGTAATTCAGAACATTCATATTTATGAGAAAAATGTTTTACTCATTTCAAATTATTCTCTTAATATTGGCCATATAAATGTCTAAGTGATAAAAAAAAAACTGAGACTAATAATAGCATACCTGATGCATGAACATTTATAGATCTTAGAGTGATACTAGAGGCCCGACGCACGAAATTTGTGCAAGGGGCTCAGCCCTCGCAGTCCCGGCCGGCCCTCACAGCCCTGGCTTCGTCCGGAAGGTAGTCTGGACGGTCCTCTGGAAAGTTGTCCAGATAATCTTGCTGCTGTTTGATCTAATTAGCATATTAGCTCTTTATTGTATAAGATGATCATTAAAATATTTAATGGTGAGATGATACTATTCCTTAATTTTACTTATTCCAAGTTCAAATAGTCTTTAGCCTTATACTATATCCTCCTCTATTAGAGGCTCTGAGTGTGTTTTTAATCCTCACCCGAGGATATGTTTCTTTGATTTTTAGAGAGAAAGAGAGAGAAAAAAACATTAATGCAAGAGAGAAATATCAATTGGTTGCCTCCTGTATGTGCCTGATGACTGGGGATCAAACCTGCAACCTAGATGTGACCCCGACCAGGAACCTAACCTACAGCCTTTTGGACGACACCCCAACCAACTGGGATATGTTTCTTTGATTTTTAGAGAGAAAGAGAGAGAGAAAAACATTAATGCAAGAGAGAAATATCAGTTGGTTGCCTCCTGTATGTGCCTGATGACTGGGAATCGAACCTGCAACCTAGATGTGACCCCGACCAGGAACCGAACCTGCAGCCTTTTGGACGACACCCCAACCAACTGAGCCAGCCAGCCAGGGCTGGATTTTTTTTTTAATACCCTTTTTTTTTATTGGCTTTATTGAAATACTAGGGGCCAGTGCACAAATTCGTGCTCCTTGAAAGGAACTGTGGGCCACGAGGCTGTGGTGGGCACATGGGTGGGTTTCAACCATCCTCTGTGCCCCCGCCCAGCCCCTCCTGCCATGGCCCCTGGTTCCCTGTCCGCTGGCAGCCCCACCACTGCCACCACTGCTCCCATGTGCTGATGGTGCCGTCCCCACTTGCACCTGCTGACATCATGGAGCAGGGGAGGTGGAGAAGCCCTCAGGGACAATCGGGGCTGGCAGCCACCGCTCACACCTGCTAACAGTAGCGGGTGCGAGCGGCAGCTCCAGTGCCAGCTGGGGTTGCGAGCGGGGCCGGCGCCGGAGCCAGCAGTTTTTTTTGGGTGCCCGCGGGGCCGGCACCGGCAGCAGGTGCAAGCATCCGGCAGGACCATGGCACGCGGGAGCAAAGAATTTTCAGTAAACCACAAGAGGCTCACCCCGATGACAGCAACCAGCGCCCTGCCTTGGTCTGGCGCCCCCGCTCACCTGCCCCACCATCCCACTGTGTCCCATGCTCTCCACCTGCTGCCGACACCCGCCATGTTCCACGTGCGCCCCCTGGTGGTCAGCGCACATCATAGTGACCGGTTGTTCAGTTGTTCCATCCTTCAGTCTATTTGCGTATTAGGGTTTTATACATATATAGATAATCTATAATAATAAAAGCATAATATGCTAATTAGACCAGACATCCTTCTGGACGACCTTCCAGACGAAGCCGGGCTACGAGGGAAGCCTGGGTCTCGGGTGCCTGCCGGTGGCCGGAGGGAAACCCGAGTCCCAGGTGCCAGAAGGAAGCTGGTGCCAGCAGCCTGGGTAAGGCAGGCCTACTAGTGCACGAATTTCATGCATTGGGCCTCTAGTTAACAAATAAAATTATATATATGTACAATGTGCAACATGATGGTTTATTCATATTCTCTTCAAACACTGTATCTAAAAAATGATTTTAATCAGCAAATTATTTTACCCAGTTTTAATTCCAATTTCATGTCTTTTTATCCTATTCTTCTTTTTCCTCCCACCCTGCCCAATCTCTTCCCTTCCTGGAACTCAGGGTAGCAGTTCACTCATTCAGCATGCTCCAGGCTCTGTGCTGGGAATGCCCAACTATAGGAATCCAAAGCCTGGTGGAAGAGAATGTATAGAAACAATATTTCATAGGAAGCAATTATTATACAGGAAGATAATGCTTTTTCTAAAGTGATCTTTATAATCTGCAAATCTGATCACTGCAGAAGTGTGGGGTGTTTGTAGGACTGGAATTGTGGGGAGGTCAGTTAGGGTATTTATAATGTTGCTATGGGTACACAGCAAGTGGCAGTAAAGGTGAAGAACAAAATGTACTTGAGAATTATTTGAAAGTCAACAAGTTTCAGTGATCTGCTTGGGGACAGAGTGGGGACTCAGTGAAGGGAAAGGAAAGTCAACAATGATTACAGGATTTTATCTTGGGAGACCAGATAAACATAAACAGTGGTGCCACTAAACCAAAATAAAAAATACAAGAGGAGAAATCCATTTGGAGGATGATAGGTCTGAGTGGTAATGAGTTCAGTTTGGGATACTTTGAAGTGTCATTGGGATGACGACATGGAGACATCCAGTAGGACATTGGATTTAGGGCTCTAGAGCTACTAAAGATAGAGAATTTGGGCATTATCAGTATAGCCTCTCGAGATTGTGTAATGTGAGAATTAAACCAATGTTTTGGGATTGGTCTGAGGATAGTCCTTGATGGAGGCTGAGACAAGGGAGTCAATAGCGGTAACAGCAGGATACAATCTTCGGAGCTAAGGGGAGAGAACATTTTAAGGAAGGAGAGGTCAAAGTAGAAGCTAGAAAGACTCTATTGGATGTGGCAATTAGGAAGACACTAGCAACCTTGGGGTATTTAGGTACCATGTAGTTCTGGGTATGGAAGGAACAATGCAAAGAAAAGAGAATGGTAGGTAAGGAAGTGAGTCAAGAGTCTTGGTTGTGAAGATGGAAATAGGAATGAGGACATACTGAGAGGGACAGGGGGTTAAGGGACTGTCATTTCTTCAAACCTATTTTCCAGTCCACTGATTCTCTCTATAGTTCTGTCTTACCTGCTGCTTAATCATTCTATTAAGTTCTTAATTTAGTGTCTTTGTTTTTCATTTGTACAAGTTTTGGAGATCCATTTTCAAATATGTTCTCTATTGGTAGTCTTGTTTTTGACCCATTGTATGCCGTTAATGATTTTCACATATTTTATTGTCTTTGATAATTTTGTTCTTTGAAGTTGTTGGGGCCTCAATCTGTTATATCTGCTGAGAAGTTGGCTTCCTAAAGCAGTTTGTGATTTCTTAGATTCATTCATCTTCAGCAGTTTATCTGTAGGAGTATCATGGCTGGGTGAGGGTCCATAAATTCCTGCGAAGAGGATTAGTATTTGCTTTTTCCAAGCATGTGTCCACCTAGAAATTACTTTTTATGCTAATTTCTTGGCTTAGGTACACTTCTAAACCAATTAGTTCCCTTAACTTTTTCTTTTTTATATTATTGTAATAAGAGCATATTATAAATGGCAAAGTGATATATGTGTGTTCAGGGGCATCCATGTGTGTGCATGTGTGCGTGTGTGTGTGCATGCATGTGAGTATATACCTAGACAGGGTCCTCTAAAGATTATCACAAAAGTTAGCAATATGTGAGGCAAAGCCTATTGTCTGCCCCTCTCATTTACTCTGGAACTGTTCTTAGTTTCATTCTAGAATAACACTGCCCAATAGAACTTTCTGAGATAATGAGAAGATTCTATAACTGTTAAGACCACTTTGGTGACCACTAGTGACATGGTGCTCTTGAGCATTGAAATATGGCTAGTGAGAATGAGGAACTGAATTTTTTAAATTATAATTCTGAGTTTAAAATAATAAAGTGCACAGAGTGACACATTTCTAGTATTGACCATACTGCTATTTCTAGAATTTCTGAAGGAATTTAGATACCTTAGGAAACTATATTTTCTGTAAAAAGTGACTAATGAGCCCTGGCCTTTTTCTCAGTGGTTAGAGCATTGGCCCGCAGATCAAAGCGTCTGGGGTTTGATTCCCAGACAAGGACACATACCTCCGTTGCAGGTTCTATCCCTGGCCCCAATCAGGGCGAGTGTGAGAGGCAACCAGTCGATGTGTCTCTCTCACATTGGTGTTTCTCTCTCTCCCCCCCCCTCTCTCTCTTTTTCTCTCTCTCCCCCCTTTTATCACCTTTCCTTCCATTCTCTTTCTAAAGATCAATGGAAAAAATATAGTCAGGTGAAGATTAAAAAAAAAAGGTGACTAATGAATTTTTGTTTTTTAGGTAGAAAAGTATGCCATAAAACTTTTCCAAAAAAAAAACTTGTTATCATCATTTGGCAAAAATGTGTACATGTATATGTATACATATGTATATATGTGTAGACATACATATATATTCTTATCTCATTTTCCAGTTTTGCAGATGAATAAATTAGTCCATAATTCCAAATATATGGGACACAAGCTTTTGAAGCTTGAGTTACAATGATGAGAGTCAATTGGTTAATAAGAATAGAGGGAACCACACACGGCCGGCATGACTCAGTGGTTGAACATCGACCTATGAACCAGGAGGTCATGGTTAAATTCCCAGTCAGGGCACATGCCTGGGTTGCCGGCTCAGATTCTCTCTCATCATTGATGTTTCTGTCTCTCTCACCCTCTCCCTACCTCTCTGAAAAAAATTTTTTTTAAAAGGAATTGAGGGAACATGTTAGTGTAAAATATGCACACCAAGGTTTTATCATGTTTGTGCATGACAGATTACAAAAATTTAAGACAGTATTTCCAGAGTATTTTTATAAATAAAAACCTAGCCACTTGAATTTAAATGTTACTACAGAGGAGTTATGATTTCCATATGTGAGTTCACTTCTTCCATAACTCTGCTTTAGAGTCCTATAAGTATTAGGAGCCAGATAATGATATAGGAGAAAAATAATTTATTGAAAAATTAAAACTCAAAATAATATTCATTATTTTTCTCCACCAAACATCACCTGACAGTTTTTAGTACATTAAATTTTAATTAATTAATTATCCCCCTTATTTTTTGTTTTGTTTTAATATACCAGCAAAGTGTCTCTTTTTGTTTGTTTTTTTATTTTGTATATAGTCATCTTTATTATACTTCATAAATATATTAGAAATGGATCTTTAATTAAAAGACATCCTGATCCTCATGGGCTTCTGCTTTCCACAGTTCATTCAGCTGTGCAGTTAGAAAATCAACTTTGAGGATGGAAAAGGCCAAGTATCATTTTAGTTTTAATTTTTTTGCCCCCTAGATCCAAGGACCATACTGTCTTAGTAGACCTGCCCATGTTCATTCCCTTCTGTAATTCCTTATAAGTTTTAATGAAACATTCTATTAGTCTGCCAGTTAATACAGATCTGGGGCTATGACTGAGAATTTGCATTTCTGTCCTCCTGTTCCCTTGTTTATGACAAAGGACAGTTACTTACTTACCTTCCAAAAATAGTTATCATCACTTTACCAACTCTCTCTGTCACATGGGGGACCCAAAAAGCATTGTCAGCTGCCAAAAAGTACAGTGAGGCTCCTCTTCTTTCCCCAAATCAAGTTATTTGGAATCTTGACTGAAGGCAGACACCATGAATGTAGAGCAAAGGTCTTCCTGTAAAAGCCAAAATCTCTTTCTCAGGAAACATTTATGAAAAGACCAGATTTTCAGCATTAAAAATTCTGGAGGACTTTTCCTTTTCCCATAAAAAATGTCACAGTGACTCTTTTTTAACCCTGTGAAAGGATCACTTGATAAGATCTAATATGAAAGCTTTTCCAGTGGGTTATGCAGGCTGCTGACATCATAGCCCCTTGATAGTAAGCTGTAATTGAGTTGCAATGTCAGAAAAGCTGCCACTGCTGAAAGATCACCTATGAAGGTCCACAGGGCCAAGTTGCCTATTCAAAGTTTGTTTTAGACAAGTCAGAGATGCACAGGCCAACACAGACCCATTTATAGCAGGAGTGGGGAACCATTGTTCTGCCAACGGCCATTTGGATATTTATAACATCATTCGCAGGCCATACAAAATTGTCAACTTGAAAATTAACTTGTTATATTTGGTCAAGCATTTAATTAACTCAGCCCTAATGCCTTGGTAGGGACAGACCAAATGATTTTGAGGGCCTTCTATGACCCTGGACCAAACAGAATTGCTCCTCCCCACTCCCAATTGTTAGTTTTGCTTTACAAGATGTTTGGTTACTATTTTGGATTTAAACATGGTATTCTTTTTATGTTTTCCTTGTTTTTATTATGGAAAATTTTAAAGATATGAAAGTGAAAAGCATGTTATAACGCACCCCATATATCCATAATCCAGCTTCAAAATGAGCACCTCATAGACAATTTTGTTTTATTTACATGTCCTCCACATCTCTTCCTTCCTCCCCTCTGGGTTATTTTAAAGCAAATCGAGATGTTATATCTTTGCATTCATAAATATCTCAGCTTGTGTCTCTAAAATATGAATATTCTTGCCCTAGCTGGTTTGGCTCAGTGGATAGAGCATTGCCTGCGGACTGAAAGGTCCCAGGTTCAGTTCCATCAAGGGCACGCACATGCCCAGGCTGTGGGCTTGATCCCCAATAGGGAGCATGCAGAAGGCAGCCAATCAATGATTCTCCATCATCATTGATGTTTCTATCTCTCTCTCCCTCTCCCTTCCTCTCTGAAATCAATAAAAATATATTTTAGAAATAAATAAAATAAAATATGAGTATTCTTAAACATCACTTTAATACCATTACACCTAAAGTAAGTAACAGTAATTTCTTACTAATCATTATATATTCAGTCAGTATTCAGATTTCCCCATAAATGTTCTTTTTCAGATGTTTTTTGAAATCAGGATCCAAATAAGAGTCAACCATTGTCATTGGTTATTGTGTGTCTTCGATCTCTTTTAGCCCGTGAATACTTCCCCTCACACCTCCCCCCTTTTTTCTTGCATTTAATTTGTTAAAGATGCCTAGTTGTTGGTCGTAGACTTTCCTGTTATCAGCAAGTCTCCCCAGTATTCTCTTTAGCTACTGGGGCTGGGTTTTGTGCTCTTTACCATTCAGCTGACATTTTCCCTGGTGTTCCTTCAGGTCCTGTGTAAATGGTACCCTCGTGTGCAATACCACCCAGCTGTGGCATGGTGATAGAATCCTGTGGGGAAATAACCACTTTTTTAGGTAACATCTTTGTGTTCACTAATATTTTCATATACATTTTTTCTGTTATCTGAGTGCAAAGCAAGTTGATTCTCTCTAATGGTGAAAAACCCCACAGAATTAATTTACCTAAGAGGAAACGGCGAGATTGGTTGAAAGACTTCGAAAAAGAAACAGGCCCTCCAGAGCATGACCTGGATGCAGCCAGTGAAGCTTCTTCGGAACCAGACTATAACTATGAATTTGCACAGATGGAGGTTATCATGAAAACACTGAATAGTAACGGTAAGGCCTCACTTCAGAGTTCTTGGTCTTGGGCAGTTCCTTATCTCGCAGCATTCAATGAGGGATAAGTATGTATAAAGTTATTGTGCCATCCTGAACACTTAGGCACAACAAATTGCTAATTCCTTAAAAAGGCCATAAGTGAGGGGCTAATGAAAGTATTCCAGGACCTGATCTGCTCCCTCAGGTCTAACCAGGAAGAGGGTGGGATCTTTTTGAGACCTCTTGTTTCCAAGCCAGTTGTGGTAAGATTTCCATGGTCCTAGAGTATTGAGTGACTGTAATGAATTTCTAATCAAATTTCCCCTTGTTGAGCCTATAATTTCTGAGTCCTTCAGAGCATGAAAATCACCAGGAGAGTACTAATCCTGGAACGTCAAATAGAGTCTGATGGAGAGATAAAAGTCACAACACCTTACTATAAACTCAATTGGAAATGATACCTCCAAAGAGACTTATTTTTAAATGGTGGCTAAAACAAAAGCCTTTATGGGCTCTTTGCTTGACCTACGCTCAGCCTGTCTCGGATCTTTAAGGAAGAGAGTCTCCTTAAAGCATTATTTCTAGTTCCCTCCTTCCAGAAGTTTTTCAATGACTATATTAAGGGTCTTCCTATCTGTGTGTAAAAGAAAGTTCTTTACCTCCTTTCTTCTTCTGTGCTCATACACACTTTTGTGAGTTCAGTAACATACACACCAGATTTTCCCCTTGCTTGCTATTTCATAAATCTGCTCCTTTCTTTTCCCATCTCCCAGTCTTCCAGTCACCACACTTAGTACCTGGGAACTAGATGCAGAACAGGGAAGTTCTCTTACTACCAGGCACAGACTGCATTTCTAAGACCAGGACTACTTTGCAGGGATATAGTTGAGGCTACATTCAGGAGCACCTGAGCAAGTTGGTTTCTGGACTTTATCCAACCTCATTTTCCCATTCATCTGTTCTTTGGATACTTGCGGATCCCTAATTTGAATGAAGAAGGGACCCCGGGAGCCCCGAGAGCCCTATGACGGGTAACCTCTATCTGACAGGGTGCTTAAAGAGTATTGTGGTTTTCACAGTCAAGCTTTCTCCTTAAATATTTATTTCCTCACTCTACTCTGAATAAGCCTATCTGGGGAGAATTTAAATATGGCTAGTGAATTGTTGGTCAGATCTCTGGCATATCAAATTGGAGATTCTGTTTCAAGAATAAAGATTTTTATCTTTGGCTTTAGCTCGGTAGCTCAGTTGGATAGAGCGTCATCCCGATATGCCAGGGTTGTGGGTTCAATCCCCAGTCAGGGCAAATGCAAGAAGCAACCAATGAATGCATGTATAAATGGAATGACAAATCAGTGTTTCTCTCTCTCCTCTCTAAAATCAATAAATAAAAATTTTTTTTAAATATTTTTATTTATCTCCTTGGATTTTCAGCCTCAAGGACCCCTCTTTTTAATTATAAAAATAGGTAAAATGAAGTAAAGGCCAGATTGAGAAACAGCACAATGTAGCAATAGCAAAAAAGAAAGGGGAAAGATAACTTCATTACTAAAGTTTGATAATTTCTCCTTTTAAACATTGTTAATTACAGTTAGGGATTAAATTAGCTCTTGGAGCTTTTGACACTGCAGCACAGGGTGGACCACAGCTACAAATCACTCTTCAGTCCACTCTGCCACTTGCTCTCCAGGTGGGAGAATTCCAGACATTCAGGCATGGGGATCACATTGACAGATCGTTTAACAACCTGTGTGAGCAACAGGCCTCCCTGGAATGATTTTTAGAGGCCTAGAGGGACACAGGGTGTGACAGGAGGCTATAGCTCCAAACTCCAGGTGGAGGAACTCCCATTCTGTAATTCAAGGAGGTTGCAGAAATCTAGATGTCTCAGTCCTGTAATTCTGCAGAGTATCAATCGAATCCTGTATCATCCCATATCACAGGTTTCTAATTTAATCTAATTGCTACCTTCTTGTCATATGCATAGTGAACCCCTGAATAACCAATGAGTATTTAGTCAGCATTCATCAATTCCTTCAATCCTCGGCCAAACCCATTAGTCATCAGTGGCCTGGCTCATGGCATTAACATGAGTTACTCATTTGTATTCCAGATCTGGCCTTGCTCTCCAGTGTTGATTTTGTCTGTTTAAAAGTAATGTTTTCCCCTCCCCTCCCCATGGATTACCCAATTTCATTGGTGAATGGGCTTCCCTGTGGGGCACACAGATGTGCTCTGGTGCAAGTACTAAAATGCAGGCGGCTGGACAGTGTTGACGCGGTGCACCTCTGCTGCCAGGTGGCTTCCCGATGATAAGCCTGTCTGCCTGGTGGTCATCCCCTTGGTGGTCCTATTTGAAGATTCTCTTCCCTCTCCTGTGGTTTCAGACGAAGCTGCTCCACAAACGCTGGGATAAAGGTTTTAACTGATTGGCATTAGCATGAGGGAGCGTGACGGGGTTTTGGCGGTGCTGCTGAGCGATGCTTGTGCTCCATGCTTTGGCAAAAGCTAACGTGATTGGGAAGCTGACCTTTTCTGCCTGCCAGCGGTACTCTGTATTCTTGATTAAGGGATGTTCCCATTTTAATTAAGACTCCTGCCTCCCCATGTCCCAGCTCCACTACTTTTCCCATGATTAAAATCTGGTAGTTATTCTTTCCCTCTGCATCCAACAACACAAGTGTTACTGGCATTATTGCTCCTGTTGCTGATGGTTTCATTACTGTTGACAACTCAGCAATCAGAACATCTTATTTCTATATATACATTTACCTGCATTATCCCAGTAACAGACTAGAATAATGTCTTTTTGAGTCACTAGGGGAAATAATGATTGAAACTCAATTCATTCTAATTAAGAGGAAGAGCAAATCTAGTATCTGTAGACAATAATGCTTTCTTGCTAAGGGTTCAAAATTAGGAATCAGACACCCATCTGATTTCACAGAGTGGACAGTAGGTCTAAAGAGCAATTAAGGGGTGGTGAAGGGTCATATAGCCCACTTATTCCATCTAGGATTAAAAGGTTTTTTTTCCCCAAAGGGATTTATTTCCCTTCAATTTAGTGCCTTGAGCCTCCTGGTGTGAATGAATCTTAATTCTCTTTATCACTTAAATGCCCTCCAACTACCATCACCTTCACCACCACTCTCTCTTTTCCATCTTGGGACAGACAAGTAAGTTTGAGTTCATTTCATTTCATAGTTACATACCAGGGAAACAATAAACTAATGAAGAAGAGAAGTGCTCTGCCCAAAGTCACTGTGGTCCTTTTTCTTTTCCTAAAATACCAACCTTTTGGTATCTTGGCCTTAGGCGCCAGGCTCACTGAGTTTTAAAACAGCTCATTCAATAGGAGGAAAGTGATAGGGGGAATTAAAACTGTGGACAATCTCTTGGTAGTTGATTGGTCATTTGAGAATAAACCAAATACTCTTTGGCTTCTGTCCTAGGCTATCTTATAGAGTCAGATGGACTTGCTGATTAGGGTGATCTATTTTTTTAAAAATATGGGTACTGATAAAGGCTTGAAACTGGTTAATTAATTTGAAAAGAAAATGTTATCAAATATATGTAAGAGAAAGGTGTTTCCAGAGATGTGTTAGGATCAGAAGTTTAAAAAGAATACCCTCAGCCGCTGTACCTCTACCAGGGCTGTGTGGCATGGCCAGACCCAGAGTCCCAGGTAGGGCTCACCTGGCCAGCTGTAGTGGGGCAGGCACAGGAGAGGGATGCTTTGGGCGGCTCCGTCCTCCATATCTGCACATTGATTTGTGGCCACTGACAAAGCCTGGTGAGTGCTGGGGGTGTCGGTCATGGCAGCTGCTAAAGCAGTTTAAGCAGCCTCAGTCACATGCCTCTGTGTGGTGGGGAACCTTGGGGCAAAATCCCTCTGCTTCAGTCATTTAGGATCATGTGCATTTCTACACACCACGGACCAACAAGTAGAAATAAAGATGAAATATCTTATTCAGTGTCTTTTAGCAAAAACCCTAGCATATAATTTTATACAATGGTGTGTTTTCCAGTTTTCTCTCTCTAGAAAAGATTTGCAAACACCAAGTTGGACTCTTGAAAATAAGGCTGTGCATAAATGTAAATGGATAATGAGGACCTTGTTCTGTACTTTTTAAACTTAAAATCTAAATAGAGCAATAAAATATACTATTTGAGAAATATATTTTTTTAATTCTAAGAGAACTTTCCTTCTCTAGCCCTTACAGCATCCCTCAAAAAAAAAAAAATTCACCATATTATTCACATTTTTTTGGAAGTTTTAGGTTATGTTAGTTCTAATGCTTTGGGGTACATATATTTTTACTCTCTAGGAAATGTCCACTCAGAGTGTGCCTTTCTGTAGGGTCTTTTTTTTTTTTTTTTGAACTCTATGTCAGGACTCTATAAAGAAAACCATTCTGCTTTGAAAAAAAATGCTGAATTTGAGAATTTTATATTAGCAAAGATATAATTTTTTTTAAAAATACAGGGTAGGGCAAAAGGTTTATAATTATGAGTACGTGAAACACAGAATTTATTCTTGTATTAATAGTTATTGTTGTATTTTTTGTATGAATAATTATAAGCCTACTTTTGCCTCATCCTATATTCTTTAAGAGAGTACTAATTCTGAGCAAAACATTGGAGGTGAGAAGACTACACTATTTTATTATTAAGTTTTTGTCTACCCCAGCCAGTTAGCTTTGGTCTGAGGTCAGATGCAAGCTTATGTCAGCTACTTAACCATCCTGAGCCCCAATGTCCTCATCTTTAAAGTGGAAATGATACCACTCTTAGGTTTTCTGCAAAGCTTTCATGAGATGATGCACGCATAGGGTATATCCCTCTACTTGAGATAAAGCCAATAGCTAATAAATTATTATTGTCATTGCAGTTGTTATTTGTATTAAAACAACTTAATACACTGTGCATATTGTGATATTTTAATTGCTTTCTACTTTTGGTTTTGTATGATTTAACCTTATTTTTTTTTTCATCTAATATGCTCTTTTTTTTTCTTAATGCTTGTGTAGAAAATTAGTACAACTTACACATTTATTTCCCAAATTGTTAAGGACCATCTGGAAAAGTAGCTATCATCAGGTATTATACAAAATCTTAATTTCCGACTCTTATTTTGGAAGTTAAACTGAGAGTCAATATGTAGAAATACAACACAAATAGCACTGAGTAACAGGCAAGTGTGTTCATGTACAAGGAGGAAGGTAAGCCCCAGGCTAGTCTGAGGATATGGGCACATCTCATCTAGGCCCCCTGTCCTGCAGTGAAATGTTTATGTGATGGTGGTTTTCCAGAGGGTTTAACATACTGTTTCCCTACAACCTACTTAGAGATGCCAGTAACATTCTTTTTTGTATGTGTGGTCAGTCCCTTAATCTTTCTCCGTGGCTTTGAGTTCATTAGTCGTTACCAAGTGAATGTCCTCCCTCAGCCAGTGAACTCCTCAGGACCAAGTCTCACCTACGTCGCAGCCACCTCTAGTCATAGAATGGCCCTTCTGAGCATGACCTGTCAGTATCTCTATGCTGTTCACCCACATGCACATTGCTGAGCTCTAGATCTGCAACAGTAAAAAAACCCACAAAAATAGCCTTTTATTTTTGTAAGTGAATTACCCTCTTAGTTATTAGCACCTGAGAAATTGCCCAACCCTATACCCAATCAATATTTTGCTATGATCTATAAATTTTGTTCCTCTCACATTAGAGAAATTCAGGAGTAGAGTGATTTGTGGTTAAAATCAGAAATATAAACCCTTTGTCATGTACCAAAACTGAATGCTAAATGGGCATAAAAATTCACTATCATAACAATCAAATCTTGTGTGGCTGTCTATGCCCTTGTCCTCGATTTCATGACGTTTTTTCCCAGTGTATAGGACACCATCCCCTTCTCCAATTCTCTCTGCTTATTACATATAGGAAATTTATCTAAAATGTTAGTGAAAAGGAAACTGAGAGGGTTCCATCTGACAGGGCCGCTCAGGCCTCTCTCAGAAGCACAAGGAAAGGCCAGATTCTGGGGGAGGAAGTGTATGGTTCTTGCTGAAACAGCACAGGCAGGCACCTGTCTTAGCCACCACTGAAGACACCTTGCCTTGTCCCTTGGCTCACCAGACCCAGTTCAAAATGTGGTGCAGGTCCTGGAGAAACAATACCTGGAAGAGAAGCGGAGTGCGCTTGAGGAGCAGCGGCTCATGTATGAGCGGGAGCTGGAGCAGCTCCGCCAGCAGCTCTCCCCGGAGAGGCAGCCCCAGAGCAGCGGCCCCGACCGCCTGGCCTACAGCCAGACAGCTCAGCAGAAGGTGACCCAGTGGGCAGAGGAGAGGTAAGAATGGAACCCGGTCAGCCAGAGTGGAGGCTCAGGGCCGTGGGGCTTTGGGGGAGGATTCTGAGACATGTAAAGGGGGACAGACCTGGCACACAGAGAGATCTTAGTCCCATATCTGGGTTGTTAGCAATTGGCTTTCCTTCCCAAGGATACTGTCCATCCTAGTATGTTTGTAGTTAGTTGTTAAAGACACACCACCACCCCCTCACCTGCATTAAAAATGGTTCCAAGTTTGAAGGCTTAGACAGTGAGGTATTAAAATGGAGGTAGAAATTTTCACTCCATTTGAATAATTCTTAGCATAAAAGCCTTTCTCCTTATTTTTTATTTCTCTTACTTTAGATTCTATTTAAATATAATTTAGTGTTAAGAAGTCTCTTAAATGTGAATTTTTTAAATTACGACTTTAAAACATTTATCTTAGCCAAAAAGCTGAGAAGCAGTGACTTTAAACCATTTATTTCAGAACTGAGGTAGCCCTAGCCAGTTTGACTCAGTGGATAGAGCATTGGCCTGTGGGCTCAAGGGTCCCAGGTTCGATTCCAGTCAAGGGCACATGCCTCGGTTGTGGGCTCGATCCCAGTAGGGGGTGTGCAGGAGGCAGCCAGTCAATGATTCTCTATCATTGATGTTTCTAACACTCTCCTCCCTCTCCCTTCCTCTCTGAAATCAATAAAAATATATTAAAAAAAAAAAAAGAACTGAGGTAGTAGTGGAAGAAATGGTCGTGATAATAACAACAACAATAAGAGCAATAAAATATTGCCAACTTCTGTGTTCTTACCACATCTGAACATGGTCTAATTTTATTTAATGCTCCTAACAGCTCTATGCCACAGGAATTATTATCTCTGTCTTGTAGATCAGGGAATCAGTTTAAATATTCTATCTCAATCACCCATCTAGTAAATGAAAAGCCCAGAATTTGAAAAAGCCAGGTGTGTCTGTAGACCCATTAATAAACTCCCTTTGTTATAATAATAATTAATAGGACTAAAGCAGCATCGGACATTTACTGATCATTTATCATGTGCCGGTCACTAAGTGCTTTACCTATATATCTAATCTTCACGTCTGCTGCTGTATTTTACCATTTTCACTCCCCATCTCACACATGAGGTAACTGAGGCGGGGAGGTTAAATGACTTGCCAGTCGTTTAGCTAGTAAGTTGGGCCAATGAGATAAAAGGCAGAGCAATCTGACCTCAGATGTCCTACTCTAACTCTTGCAGTCACGCTGCATCTCTCTCTAGCAAAGAGGTGATTAACTTGAGCCACATGCAGGGAAGATGACCCCTGGGAGGAGAAAAGGGGACTCACTTAGAAACCAATTGCCGTTTCCTTTGCTTTTCCATTTTCTCATGTCCTTTTCTGCTACACCACAGGGATGAACTCTTCCGTCAGAGCCTGGCAAAACTGCGCGAGCAGCTAGTTAAGGCTAACACCTTGGTGAGGGAGGCAAACTTCTTAGCCGAGGAAATGAGCAAACTCACTGACTACCAGGTGACTCTGCAGATCCCTGCTACAAACCTCAGTGCCAATAGAAAGGTGAGAATGAGAGAAGGTGTGCATTAGTGAATCCTGTAAGATGGACTGTAAACCTGACCTCCAAGATAACCTCCCCAAGGAGATCCGCAAGTGAGCCAGAGTTTTCATTCTTCTTGAAACTTCTGCTGCAGACCTTCACTTGTATATATGCCCTTAGATATGTGATGATCAGAATATGAGAATTTGGGTGGCCTGAAGGGGTTGCTAATTTAAATGCTTTCTTTAAACCTAGAAATATGTATAAGTAATCCCACCTGCTTGTCTCTTTTGTATAAATGCCCCCTTCTGAAATGAGGGTTAGGTGTATGTTTTGTTGCAGTATCAGTTTCAGAATTAATTTTATAAGAAAGGAAGACTGGTATGCTAACTGTCTTTACATTCACAGAGCACTCTGCAACCATTTGGATGTTTCCCATCAGTTCAACTTGAAAATTTTTCTCTTTAAGGAGAAACTTTGAAAAAGAATAGTTTTTCATCCATTCATTGTCAAGCCAGAAATGAGTGAGGGAGTGTCTCATCAGTCTTGCTGGGTTGTGGTCATTTGACCAAGTTCTTCTCCTTTGAGAAATGTGTCCTCAGTCCATGGTCATAGAAGTGAACTTAAAGCGTAAACATGCTTTTTGTATAAGGATGCTTATCATAGTGTCCTTTATAATAGCAAAAATGTGAGACAGCCATAATATTGAACAGTAGAATAGTCAAATAAGTAGTCCATCCAGATAATGGGTAGCTGTGCTACCTATAAATTCATATTTATGAAGAATTGTGGACACAAGAAGATGACCATAACATGAAAACTGTAGAGAGAGAATTGGAATAGGAAATTTATATTTTGTTTGGTTCTGCTTTTGATAAAAATGAAGTGTGTGCCTTGATATACATAAAAGATGGAAAATAAACCAAAGTATTCTGTAGGTGGTAGAATTTCATCGTTTGTATATATTATATTTCTTAAACTTGCTACTTTACAATAATGTGTATTGCTTTAACAATCCAAAAAGTTATAACAAGTTTGTTTTGTTTATTTTGCTTTTGCTTTCCTTCGAACTGCAGAGAGGAGCAATAGTGAGTGAGCCAGCTATTCAAGTGAGGAGGAAAGGGAAAGGCACGCAAGTTTGGACCATTGAGAAGCTGGAGAATAGATTAATTGATATGAGAGACCTTTATCAAGAATGGAAGGAAAAAGTTCCCGAGGTAAAAAAGATAAAATATAAAGGAGACTTGGTCATGTTAGAAGCAGAAAGTATAAATGATTTTAATTGTCAGAACACAGACATGCACACTCATGTGCACACACCTGACAATCATCGTAGTGGTGCTCTGGACATGTAGATTAAAAAAGTAAAGTAAAAGTGATCTTGAAAGGAATGCTAAGTTGGATCAGTAACATAACACAGGTAGAACCAAATGAAGAGAACACAGTGCATTCTTACTTGGCTGCATTTTTTACTACATTTTAAGTGAAATAAAGTGCTGCTTTAAGTGAATTTGTGCTGCTGCATCAGTGTTGTGAGAAGTCAGCTGGATGGAGTCTGTGCGGATTTTATATTCATTAGCATATGTTCATGCTCCCCGAGCTGTGGTCATGGCTGGGTAGATTCCTATGAATAACTTTAGAGAGCGTAATTTCACTTTTGGGGCATTATTAATCAAAACTATTCGGTGAAGGAAATGAGTCGAAGCATGGGGAGTGAAATGAAGCAGGCTGCAAGTGGGGTGTGATAGGGAAGATGAGGCAATAACTGTAGAAGGATCCTCTACACCGATATCACTTAGTTCCCCAACTAACAATGTGCTAATTTTGTTTTATTTATGTGATGTGATTCTAATTTTACTTTTTAAATTTGTTAGAATAAATGCTTTTTAAAAAATTGTTAATGCTAGTTTTAAATCATTTTATTTCATTTTGATGTGTTATTACTTTCTCTGCTGCCTACTTGCCTCTCCTATCATTCAGGCAAAGAGACTTTATGGGAAACGAGGTGACCCCTTCTATGAAGCCCAAGAGAATCACAACCTCATCGGTGTGGCTAATGTCTTTTTGGAGTGTCTCTATTGTGATGTGAAACTTCAGTATGCAGTTCCTATCATCAGCCAGCAGGGGGAGGTAAGGACAAGCCAGCGTCAGAGAAAATGATGGTGGTTCAAATTTTTGTTTTTTGTTTTTTTTCTATTTAAGTTCTTGAGGTTGATTCAGAAACTAGGCAAAAGAGTCACAATCCTCATTCTTTTTTCTCTATTAATATCAATAGAAACTATCAACCTTAAGTCATGGTTTTAAGAATATTATAACACATTTTATATTTTTGTTTCATAAGTTTTTTGTTTTAATTAAATTAGAAATCTTTGGAAACCAGATTCTGCTCTGTGCCCCGCATTCATTTCTTTTAACCTCTTCCCTCTGTGATACTCTAGTTCCCCCCTGGCCTCTAAGTGGTCTTTACAAGATTTGAAACCCAAAATATTCAAAGGAAACAAGCTTCATTATCCCATTGTTACCCCCTTTTATTATTTTTTATTTTTTGGTTAATCTTCACCCAAAGATATTTTTTCCATTGATTTTTAGAGAGAGTGGGAAAGGGGGGGCAGAGAGAGAGAGAGATCGATCGGTTCCCTCCTGCACACACCCTGACCTGGGCCCTTGACTGGGAATCGAATCCAGACCCTTTGGTCCTCAGTCTGGCACTCTAACCACAGAGAAAAACCAGCCAGGATTGTTACCCCCTTTTAAACTCTCATATTTCAGTTATTCAGATATATGGCCTTATGTAGGCCTAAGACATTTCAGAAAATGTTCAAGTTCAGACTTTCTTATTTTTTCCATTCCATCAACTGATGTTTTAATTTTAAGTTTAACCATATCCTTATTTCCTAGTTTGTCCTTCAATAACATGCAAGGTTATTTTTTGTTATATTTAGAGCAGGCTTAGTTAGAATAGGATGCCATTCCGCCTAAAGCAAACCTGGAAAATCAACCCTAGATTCCCAGTTGTGGTGTGCAAGTACATAGCCTACCTCTACATGTCGTGACACCCCCTACCCGCCCCCCCAAACTCCCCATGAACATCTGCTTTGGAAAGACCAGTGGGCTGGAGTTGCTTTTTCTCATGTTAAAAATGGGCACAACTCCTGTGGCAAAGGGATCCAATGGCTAAGTCAGGGTTCTTAAGCTAAAGTCCATGGAGGGCTTTAGAGTTCTAGGAATCCCCTGAAATTATATTAAAAATGTATTAGATTCGCCCTAACTGGTTTGGCTCAGTGGATAGAGCTTTGGCCTGTGGACTGAAGGGTCCCAGGTTCGATTCCGGTCAAGGGCATGTACCTTGGTTGCGAGCACATCCCCAGCAGGGGGTGTGCAGGAGGCAGCTGATCGATGTTTCTCTCTCATTGATGTTTCTAACTCTCTATCCCTCTCCCTTCTTCTCTGTAAAAAATCAATAAAATATATTTTTTTAAAAATGTATTAGGTTCTCAAAAAGCATTGAAAAAAGCTTAAGAATCACTATCTTCTGATTTCTCTTATTCACTCCCTCCCCCTTACTACTTCCTCATATTTGTCTGCCTTGCCAAATACCATCAGCCACTATCTCCCAGGTCCCTGGCACCAGTGCACATTGCTGTGGAAGTTGGGTCTGAGCTACGTTTAAAAACAAGCTCACTATTTAAGATGACAGTGGCTTGGCCAGAACATGTGTCACCTTCACAGCTGCAGTGATTACAACCTTACGCTGTTGTATAAAAGATAACTTGTCCAATTACAACTCTGGGAATGCAAATTTCAACAATTTTGATTTGTTTCTCTGCAACAACTTTAAGAGAGATACTATTAAACTAGCACCGATTCTGAGAACCACCAGGATAGTGAGAGCATTTTAAGCCCTTTTTTGGAAAAACCATTTTAAAGGAACTGTTTCCTTCTAACTCCCTGGCTGTGTGTGTGCTGTTTCTCCTGGAGTCCGTCTCACCCCTCAGCTCCAGTGGGAACGACAGCCCATTCTCTACTCCCAGGAGAATAGAAACTCCCCGAGCCCAGTGACCACGTCTGTTTGTTTCACTGTTGTCAATACAACACTTGCAGTTCCTGGCACGGTGTCAGTTCTTGGCAAATAGTTGTTGAGGTGATAAATTTATTCCATAACACCCGGTACATCATCTCTGTTGTAGCAGCTAGTCTACACTGTTGTTATTGGGCTTTTACTTCTCTGTCTCTCCCCACTTGACTGAGTGCCCTGACAGCAGAGTCTGCGTCTTTATTTTGTATTCCCAAGAGGCCAGGTATTTGATAGCATGAGTAAGTGAACTAATATATATACACATGGAAAATAGGTGACTCCAGGTAGAATATGATAGTAGTCTTGAAGCTGTGTGTTGGCTATCCTGTACAAGAAGGGTAAGAATGAAGATGACTCCAGAAGGCAAGTTACAGGCAGGTAAATTTGGCTCAGAGTCAGGCAGGATGATTGGAGGGGCAAGCGTGGAAAGGACTGGCTCCGGGAGTGCTGAGCTCCTCCTCGCTGGAGATGGCCGAGTGATAGCTGTGCAGCTGCTCATCGGGATATTGTAGAATGCTTTCTGTCTCCGTCTGTGTTGTCCACGATGCCTTTTAACCCCACGTCCTCTGGTCCCCTGACCCAGGTTGCAGGGCGTCTCCACGTGGAAGTGATGCGGGTCACAGGGGCTGTCCCGGAGCGCGTGGTGGAAGACGACTCCTCAGAGAACTCCAGTGAGAGTGGGAGTCTTGAAGTCGTAGACAGCAGTGGGGAAGTCATTCACCGCGTCAAAAAACTGACATGCCGGGTGAGAGGACAGTGATGGGAGGCTCAGAAAAATGACTTCTTAATTCAAAACATTTTATAGAAAATTTTATGAGTTTTTCACAGAGCATAGTAGAAGTTAAACTTTCTGGCAATAAATACAATGATGAACAGTCCTTTTTCCAGAAGTATAGTACACTTTCTGATGACCTGTGTGTGGTATTTCAAAGGGCTGTGTATTTGGCATGCAAGGAGTATATGTTGTTTGTTGAAGCATACTTTTCTAGTACAGGTTTTATCTATATCAGAAACTCAATTACTAAGAAAATTTTAGAGCATTGTATGTATTTGTTGCCAAGTTTATATGCTAGTTATAGAACTACGGTACAGATTTCATTACAGATAGAACCCTAATGAAGCGGTGCCAAATATTTTCAAATGTCAGGTGGATGACTAATTATTTCATCGCTTAATCTTAAATTTGGGGAAGCTGAAATAAGAAAAGAATGCATAGTTTAATGTTTTCTTTATGGAAGTTATAGTTGCATTTTTAAAAATCTGTCTCTTCAGGTAAAAATTAAAGAAGCAACTGGGCTGCCCTTAAACCTCTCGAATTTTGTCTTCTGTCAATACACATTCTGGGACCAGTGTGAGTCCACAGTGGCTGCCCCAGTAGTGGACCCAGAGGTGCCTTCCCCACAGTCCAAGGATGCCCAGTATAGTGTGACCTTCTCTCACTGTAAGGTATGAAATGAGTTATGTGGGAGGCAACAAATCTGGGTGTAGTTTAAAAGTCTACTTGCACTTTAGAAATTTTCTCCATAAGTATGTCTTATAGACTTAATATGTTTATTGGTCTTTATAACCTCAAAGTGTACTTCAGTATAATTTCAAAAAATTTAAAAGTATTTGAAATAAAATCTGAAAAACCTATACTCAATATCGTACTCGCCCGAGGTGTGATGACCAATGACAGTTTGCTACATATTTTGATAAACTATTTTCTGTATTCCACAACATTTATATGTGTGGTAAACATATGCTCATACATATGAATGGGCATAGATACACACTCTTAATGTCATGCACACAACTTCTTAAAACACTTTTTTACAAAAATGTGATTATATTATACATATTGCAAAATTATATCTTGTTACTTTGATATATGTGGACATCTTAACATGTAAGTTGCTGTAGCTATTTTCATTCTTTTGAAAATAGTATAGAATTCTAAGCATAGCATTCTAATGTATCAGATGAGGGTTTTTTTTCTTCCTTGAGTTTTTTTGTTTTCGTTTTTTTTAATCACTATGTCTTCTATTTTATTTTATTTTATTTTAATACTAGAGGCCGATGCACGAAATTCATGCAAGGGGCTCGGCCCTCGCAGCCTCGGCTTCGTCCGGAAGGATGTCTGGCTGTCCAGTCTAATTAGCATATTATGCTTTTATTATTATATATGTTTTTATTGATTTTCCAGTGAGAAAGGGAGAGAGATAGAGAGTTAGAAACATCCATGAGAGAGAAACATTGATCAGCTGCCTTCTGCACGCCCCCTACTGGGGATCAAGCCAGCAATCAAGGCACATGCTCTTGACCAGACTAGAGCATGTGCCTTGACCAGACTAGAACCCGGGACCCTCCAGTCCACGGGGCCGATGCTCTATCCACTGAGCCAAACCAGTTAGGGCTACCATATGAGTTTTGAAAGAAAATATAAAATGGGAAAAGAAAATTTTGGGGGAATATTGCATAAACCTACTTTGGGACATTAGCTGCCCTTCTGGTTTTCACATTGGAATGCCAACAAGTCATTTTCGACAGACTCTATTTTCTGTGTAATTTTGTTTTTCCTTGGACAATCCTTAATAGGTACTCAAGACCTTTTATTTATTTATTTTTTGTAAACTGTGCCTATTCCTTTTAGTTCTACAATTAGAAAACAAATCCATATCACCACCTATAAAATTTCACATATGTAAAGACTATCAAGTCTTTCTATTTCTGAAAATAACCCACATTTATTACCTGTTCTCACCAATCTGTTTCTCAAATTTTTCATTAATCATTTTTGTTTCTGTATTCCCCGTGTTTCTTTGGATCTACAAAGCTGCTATTTAGCAGAATGATAAAATCTGAATTTCAAGTGCATTCTAGTTAACAGCTGGTTTAGTAAATACTGGTCTCAGGGCCCCTGGAATCATTATGTGCCCTTGGGGTTTATTTCATCTTTAAAGTGTGTAGATTGTACTAATTGGTCATTAAGTTTATTTTTCTTCTGAAATGCTTGCTCTTTCTCTAAGGGAAATGAATAAGACGGTAAATAATGTGAGGTTGGATCAGCTCTTGCCAGAAGTTAGTCACAGAGTTGTGTTCACCCAGGATTCCTCTGAGCCGTGAATGGAAAGAAAATTGGCTTTGTTCCCTACTACTAAGTCAGTTAGGATTCGTTTCCTCACTGTCATCTGTTTGTGTTTTAAATGAGGAATTGGGGTGGGAGAGTCTAGGAGCAAGAGCTCAGAATCATGATGATGATCATGTAAAATGTTATTAGTCTTCTACACCATAGCAAGGAGCAATCGAATGTTCCTTTTTTGATGTGCTTACTGGTCTATGCCAGCTGAATGTCAGAGCAGCTGGGGAGCTATAAATGATGAACCAGGACTGAGGGAAGGTAGAGTTAGTCAGCTCTGTAACTAACAAGCAGTATGACGTGGAACAAGTAGCATTCTTCATTGTCTTCATTTATAAAACAAAGGGGTGGGGTTAAATTACCTCATAATATCACTTTCAGATTTTATATTATTTTTTCTTGATGGTGTTCTATAAAACAGTAGAGATAGTTTTTAAGATTGGGATCGAGTTAATATACTAGTACTCCAAAGTGAATCTATATACAGTTAAAAGGTAAAAAGAAAAATGTCACAGATTTCTTTATGTATAATTTTTGTCGCTCTGTCTTTCCTCCTGCTTACCCCAGGACTATGTGGTGAACGTAACCGAGGAATTCCTGGAGTTCATTTCAGATGGAGCGCTGGCGATTGAAGTGTGGGGCCACCGGTGTGCTGGAAACGGTAGCTCCATCTGGGAGGTGGATTCTCTTCATGCTAAGACAAGAACGCTGCATGACAGGTTCGTACTTTCCTGTGAGCTTCAGACACAGGGCCAAGAGTAGCACTTGGACAATAGTTAAGAAAACGGATTCTCTGAGCCTGTTTCCTCATTTGTGAAATGAGAATGATCAAAGGAACTACTGGGCAACAAAGAAATTCAGTGGGGAAAGGAAAATCTTTTCAACAAACAAGACTGAAAAATTGTATATCAATATGGGAAAAAACTTCAATTTTTACTTCACAACATACACAAAACTACATCACCGTAAATATAAAACTGTAAAGCTTATTATAGAAGAAAACAGGAAAATATCTTCTTGTAAAGTCAATCATTTGCCTGTTCTATGACCCAGCAATGCCACTCCTCGGTATTTACCCAAAAATATGAAAACAAGCAGACTTGTACACACAAGTGTTTATGACAACTCTATAATATCCTAAACTGCAAATAATCCAAGTGTCCTTCAATCTGAGAATAGATAAACAAATTGTAGTAGTATTCATATCATAGAATAGTACTCAGAAATTTAAAAAAGACTATTGCCATCCATTTAACTGAATCTCAAAAACATACAGAACCAAATAAGCCAGAACTAAAAGAGTATATACTACTACACGATTCCATTTATATGAAGTTCTAGAAAAGGCAAAACTAATCTATGAGCTTTCATGGCTGCTGCAGGGAGGGGTGGTTGTAGGGTGAATGGGAAGGGGCAAGAGCAACTTTCTGAGGTTAACAGTGGGATAACTTACACAGATGTATGCATTTGTCAAAACTCATCAAACTCTGTGCTTGAGATCTGGCATTTCACTGAATGTAAGTTATACCTCAATAAAATATAAAGAACGTACACCAAAACGTTTTGAGAGTTAATAGAAAATAGTGTATGCAACATCCATGGCACAGTGCCTAACACATAGTAAGTGGTCAGTGAACGGTGGCTTATTCCTAATAGAGTCCCTGGCCAATGAGAGTGTTGTATGTTGGAATGCGTTCTGCAGGTGGAATGAAGTGACTCGCAGAATAGAAATGTGGATCTCCATATTAGAACTGAACGAGTTAGGGGAATATGCTGCAGTGGAGCTTCACCAGGCGAAAGACGTCAACACTGGAGGCATCTTTCAGCTCAGACAGGTACTAAGGTTGTTTTTGTCTCATGGTTTCTTTGTCCCACGCTAACACACAGTCTCTGGAATTTTTGCATTATTTGACTCTTTGTTCCCTAATTTGTTTCCCTTCCTTTATCCTCTTCCCCCTTCACTCCCCATTCCCATTCCTGGCACCCGTTTCCACATCACTCCCTCATGGCACCCTCACCTCTACAGGGTCATTCCCGGAGAGTGCAAGTCACAGTAAAACCTGTACAGCATTCAGGGACACTGCCACTTATGGTTGAAGCCATCCTGTCAGTATCTATTGGCTGTGTGACTGCCCGGTCCACCAAGCTCCAAAGAGGGCTGGACAGTTACCAGGTAAGACCAACAGGTTTGAAACAGTATTTAACGAAGATTGATTAATGCAGAATTAAGAAAGTTTGTGATCTGTGATGGAGACACCTATTTGGGAATACAACAGAATTCCTTGCCTTAACCATCTATTTGTCCCTGTCCTCATATTTCCATCCATTGCCCTTTTTCTAGATTTAAAATACAATATTGGCTTAGTGTTGATTAATAATTACTTTATTTATAAATATACATTTTAATGCTACAGTATTCATTTACTTTAGGCAGGTTTTATTTTACATTTGGTCCAAATTATGTTAGATATTTGGCATTGCTGCCTGGCCCGATCCACTTTTATTAACATAAAATTGCCCCCATACACTGGCATAAATAATCAGTTCTTTAAAAGCTTTATTTTTTAAAAAAAAAATTAAAAGTCCTGATCATTTTTGTCTGTTAATTCTCCACTTGCTAAATCTTGTGTTTGCATTTTTAAAAATTAAAAGATAAAAACCTCTAGGAATTGACCTTCATATTACCGGAATACTCCTTGAAAATAAACTTTAAGATTAGGAAATGGTCCCCAGTGGCCTGAAGGAAGGCAGTGCCTCCCCAAGTCCCCAGTTTATTCTCAGGTATGAATTAGGGACTGGGAGAAATCGACCATTATGTTGGGGCTCCCTCACTGTCACCTGACAGGGAGCACTGTCCCTGACATGAGAGGGAGGGGACACTTCTCTGTGGAGTCTGGGCGTACGCCCAGTCCATCCCAAGAATGATTCACCTTTTATCGCCCTTTCCTTTTGGTTTCACGGCATTCAGGCAAAGACTTTTCTGGAAGCTAAAAAGAACATTCTTGGACTCACGGGCCTTAAGAGAAGAATAGCTTTGTTAGACACTGCTTTCCTATCTCAGGCCAGAGTTCCCAAGGCCTGGGGGAGAGTAGGAGTGAAACTCTGGAGACAGTCTTTTCCATAAGACTTTTCCTTGTGTGTGGAGGAGGGAATTGGACTGTCTGTATTCTCATCCCAGTTCAGTCCCTCACTTGGCTGTCAACTTTGAGGTGGCCTCGGGGCCTCGTAGAAACCATTAGAGTAGGGAGACCTGTGTGCTTAAGTCTAATTTGGCCTTCCTGCGTAGTTACCGTGACTGGGTAATTTTTAAAAGTTCCCTTTTTCTCTTCAAAATGATGAGGTAGACGTATTAATTCTCTGAGCTCCCTTTCTGCAGTAAAATTTTGTGGCTTAACAAGTTTCTGATCTTAAATAAAACTTTGAATCTGTGTGTCCTAAACTGTGAACTACAGAATATGGAATATCAACTGACTAAATGCCCCATTCTAGGAATATTATAAGGATTGCTTATTTGCACTTTGTAAAACAGCTATACCTCTTGAGTTAAAACTGATTTTTGTCAAGATTTGAGCTCTCAAATATCAGCCTTTCTCCAGTACTAAATGTCGTTCTTTAAATAGCATAGTATCAGTCATGTAAATTTAAACTGTGGTTATTTTAAATCTTTTATTTATTTATTTTTACTGCCATGTCCAATCAAGGATATATCCAGTAATTTTTTGTTGTTGATGTAGTACTTCAGAAGTTTTCTGATTCAGTAGCTCAGGCCAATCCAGAATATGTTGGCATCACAACAGTTATCCATCATAGAAGCTCAGGCTAGTTTTCAGTTAATAGAAGTATCTCCTATATCTAAAAAATAACGATAAATGATTCATTAATATGGGGAGTTAATTCAAGAAAACTTATTTCAGTATTTGGCTTGCATTTAATGAATTACTTACACAAATGATAATGGTGGTTGCCAAATTAAAACAAAGTGTATGTTTAAGTCTAGACAGAGAATAATTTTAACTGTATTTTTAAAGCACTTTTAAGTAGCAGTATATTTTGAAATATACCTAGGTATGAGGATAATGTAATTATGTTTTTAAACTTGAAAAAAAAGTTTGTCTTTTTTATGACTAGACTACTATTTGAATACTAACCTTCCAGTAACCATAGGAAAAAAATGAAAGAAAGTTATTACATGACTCAGTATTCATTTTGAATAGAACCTGTCTCAAATGGATGAATATTCTCTACAAATGGGAATTTCATTATTCTTATTTTTAAGGAAAATTGTCTCAACTAAAACTCTTTTATTTTCAACACTGTGATTTTATTTTGACAAATGTTTTTGCCAAAATTGTTATTTTATATTATTATAAACAGTTCCTGTGGGTTCAGTACAGTTCTGATTTTTCTCAGCTGTTTGGTATGGAGGGTGATATGCACAATAGTGAATAATGATAGATCCGTATATTTAAAATAGTGGCCTTTGCTTTTATTGCAGTAGTCTGGTGCAGAACCTTGAACGTAGATAGATTTAGGTTCCCCAGTGAGCTTTCATTGTGATGATTTCATCAGTGAGAGTGGTGTGGTGTGGTGAGGTGGGAGACTACAGGCCTGCCCCTACCATTATGTGTGTGATTTTTGGATTAAATCACTTCATCCTCTGGGCCTTAGTTGCCTCTTGGCTAAAACTCAAAGGCCAAGCCATGGAATCTCTAAAGTACTTTCTCTGTCATTTTGTGTTTCTAAACCCACTCTAAATCTCAAATAGCTTACCCACAAATACACAGCAACTATTTGCATAACAATGCAGTAAGGCAGGTAGTCCCATCTAAGAGAGTTCTTGTTTTTAAATGATTCCTTTCTTTGTTATTTTTTAATGGTTTTTTTTAAATTATTTTTAGAGAGAGAGAAAGGGATAGGGATAGAGAGATAGAAACATCGATGAGAGAGAAACATCATCAGTTGGCTGCCTCCTGCTTGCCCCCTGCTGGGATGGAGCCCGCAACCCCAGGCATATGCCCTGACTGGGAATCGAACCAGTGACCTCTTGGTTCATGGGTCAACACTCAACCACTGAGCCACATCGGCGGGGATCCTTTCTTTATTTTTTTAAACTTAAATTTCTTAAGTAATTATAGATAAGTTAATTAAATCTACTAAATCTTTTTGAGTTTCAATTAAATGTTTTATGATGCTGATGTGTGTGCTGTCCATTGTAATGTGTGTGTTAAGCTTAAAGAATTATTTAAGTGTGCTGTTTGAGAAACAAAATGCATGTCCTTTGTGTTTATTTTTTTTCCTGCCAGAGAGATGATGAGGATGGTGATGATATGGATAGTTATCAGGTATTGCTGCCGTCAATCCTGTGGCATGGGGCACAGCTGCTGCTAATTGCCAGCACCCGCAAAGCAGAGAGCAGGGAGGAGGAAGGAGGAGCATAGAGCAAGAAAATGCAGTTTTTTACTTGCTTTTGATTTGCTTTAAATGTAATCAGGGATACAATACTACCTCTATATAGATTTCTCTGTCAGCTTAAAATTTATAACCAAATACTGCTATTTTGCTATGCCATCTCAAATTACTAGCTTATAAAGCCTTTCTAAGCAAGACCATGATTGCTGTATTAAATTGGTGACATTAAAATTTGTGCAGTTATCCATCCATGTTCTCTAAGTAGATTCTTGTCTTTCCTATGAGAAACTACACTTAGCTCCTTACATTCAAGAGAGTAGTGTTGTTCTTAAAGTATATGCCATTTTACTTTAAGAGACTTTTGTTGGATAAGAAAATTGAAGACATTTTATGCACACGGTTTTGTTTTGTTTAGCCAGTTTTCTTCTCTCATCAAGGCCTAGCTTAGTTACCTATAACCTGGAGAATTTAAATCTCAATTTTTTAATATGTGCAAATGTGAGGTTTTACCCAGTCAACACTGACTGACCTGCTATCATGGAATGAGCAATAATAGCAGTGGTCAAGGCAGCAAACTAGGATGGACTATTTGGGGTTTGGTTCCCAGTCTCTCTATTAATTCTCCACATAAACTTCAAAAGCATGTTTTCCTGGTGTGCCTTCCTGTGCTTAACATGTGTGTGCATTGTAGGTAGAGCCTCAGAAGTCTGCAGGTATCTGCTCTGAATGTAGTGTTTTAAGGGTTAGATTAGAATTAAGCAAGTTAGCACATTTTGAATAGAATTATGGGTTCTTTCCCTCATCATAATTTTACTAAGAAAGGAAACAAGCAAGCAAAAACAAAGTATAAGAGAAAGATCCCCATGGATCTCAGCAACACCATTAACTCACTCCTGCAGCTGTCTGTGCTTCCTGCCACGTATACACGTGAAGTCCATTGGCTTGCTGCTGGGAGTTCTGAGAGCATGGCTGACTGCATGTTGGGTTTTTGCATGGGAGATTTTTGTTACCTCATGGTAGGGGCAAATTTGAAGGTTCTCTGCTGATCATCCTTTGCGTTTCAGAAAATACAGGTCATCAGGCCATTGAACTGTGAACTATGAAAATACCTGTCATTTTCCATTCCATTTGCTGTTACATGGTTTGGGCTCTGTTCGTGGTGTCCTTCAGCTGAGAACTGCAAATCTTTCAGATGAATAGCTACAGCTTCAGCACACACAAGCACACACACACCATGTAGGAATCATCCAACAGCTGGTGTAGTTTGAGTCTCTCTTGCTTTTAGGTACAATTATCCTTTTGGGAAATCTTGGGCTCTGGTTTCTGAGTAACGGGATTCTCGATCAGCATGCAGTGTTTGCGAGGCCTCTTTGCTTTCTTGCATATTAATCACACAGCAATGTTCAATGGCCTTTCCTAATGAAAAGTTTCTAAATCAATGAAACATCTTTTTTTTTAAAAAAAGAAATACTAGTTGTTTATGCACTTTACAGAAAAATGCTTCCCTTCCCTCATGTCAGGAAGAAGACTTAAACTGTGTAAGAGAGAGGTGGTCTGATGCACTCATTAAGCGACGAGAATACTTAGATGAACAGATTAAAAAAATCAGCAATAAAAAAGGTATGTGAGATTAAACTCTTTCCCGGGAGTAGCTTTTTCACTTGTAGACAATTGCAGTGGGTTGCTTTCTTCCCTTTGTTGGATAATTGTATCTTAGTTTTTAACCTTATAACAATTATAAATATTTGTGTGTCATATTGTACAGTGTTAGCTTAAGAAGGCTCTGAGTTTGAAATTAATATATCTTTATAAAACTCTGAGTTAACTGTGATATTAAATGTTAAACTGAAATTATGTTTTGATGAATGCAAATATGATCAATACTATAACTCAGTAATGAGCTACTTCAGGCTCAGAACATGGAACTGACAGCAGCTAAAGGGTCACTTCTAAAAGCACAGCCTTTGGCAGGTCAGCCCCAGCTACTGTTGGGAGGTAGCCATGCACTCAGCCAAAGCTGGCTGCAGCTGCAGCCACTGCCTGAGCTCCAAGAATGCAGTCCGCTTATGCTGGCAACTGCCTCCTGGATTTCAGAGTATAAATATGCTCTTGAAACCCGTAGTCTCACAACCTCACTTTATGATTTACTCATTGCGGATGATTCGGCACCAAAGGACACATCACACTTAATCCCCTTCATGAAGAAGTTAGCGAAAATTCTCCCCCAATACAACGTCTCGGCTCAACGTTCATAGTGTCCTTGGTGCATGTGCTCCACCTGCTCATGAAAACTCACTATGTCCAGGTAGCTCCAGAGTTGTATTATAGGTAAGAGGATTTCAAAATATATCAAATAAAATCTCTTCATAATGAATATGAAGGAAAATAAAGTTAGTTTTGCAGGGTGCGGCATATGGTATTTTTTAATTCTCTATATAAAATGGTGTGTAGTTTTTATAAAGCAATGTCATATCCATCATTTTATTTGATCGTTCCAACAAATGCATGAAGTAAATACGGCTTGATTATACCTTTTTGAAAGAGTAGGAAACTAGACTTATCTATTGAATCACTTCTTCAAATTTTACAGAACCAGTAAAATAACCCACGTCTTTTAATCTCTGTTCCAATGCTCTTTCTACTCTCCTGGTTTGTGGTTCATTAGCTAGTGTCCTAGGCTCTCCAAGCCCAACTGGGTGCTCAGGCTTGAACTTTAAAGCCTTAAATCCTTTGTGATGTGGCAGATGTTCAAGCCATGTATGGATATCACCAAGTACTCATCTATTTTAAATGTAGAAATTGTACTTTTTCCGTTCTTGGTACTCATTCCCTCATTCTGCCCCACAGAGAAAACCGAGGACGAAGTGGAGCGGGAAGCCCGGCTTGTGGAGCAGTGGGTGGGGCTGACTGAGGAAAGGAATGCGGTGCTGGTGCCAGCCCCAGGCAGTGGGATCCCCGGGGCACCTGCCGACTGGTAAGTCCACCCTTCCGTCTGTGCAGGTCTGACAGGATGGTTCAGAGGGCCTGTGGCAGGAGTCACGCAAGTGACTTTCCCGGATTATCACGGGAAATGCTAAACAGCATGAGCTGCCCAGGGAAGGGGCACCTGTCTCCAGTGCCACATTCCCATTTTTTCCTCCCTACCGCAGACGACTTTCTCTCACAGGAAGCCAGAGAGCATTTATTACCTGGCCAGGAATCTAATACCACACTCCTTAGTTCCTCTGCATGAGCAACTTGGATGTGGTGTCCTGATCTCCAGAAATTCTCTTAATTTCGGCTCAAAAGAAGAGTGTTTCCAGGGTGTAGTCAAAGAGGGCAGAAGATATATCTAAACTACTATCAATTAATCGATTGATATGTCAGTCCTCATGCTCATAAGAAACAGGGTGATATCCTCGACTCTGCAGTCCAATAAATCTGGATATGGTTTCCAGCTATAGCTCTTAAGTGTTGTTCACTTACCTTCTCTGAGGCTTCATTCTTAATCATTAATGGGACTACCTTTATGATACTGTTGTGAAGATTAGAGATAATATATACAAAACTAGAAGCCCGGTGCATGAAATTCATGCACTGCAGGTGGGGGGGGGGGGGTCCCTCAGCCCAGCCTGCACCCTCTCCAATCA